CCACTGGACTTCATGGATGTTTTCCCCCTACTGCACTGGCACCTCTCCAGTGTTGCACTGCTTACCCCCTCACCACCATACTGGGCATCCCTATCACCCCCATTCCTCACTGCTGCTGGACAAGGGCATGATTTCCCGCACCCTGCACAACCTGGACTCACCCTCAGTTCCCCACATTGCACCACACTGCCTTGTCCCCTGGGGCAAAGACAGGAAGCAGCAGCCAGAGCAATGCGGGGAGTGATGGCTAGGTGAGAGCCTAAGGTTTAACTACTCACTAGCCACAAGTCGCGCAGCCCTACTTTAACGCCTGTCCTCTATAGAGAGAAGATTGTACATTGTAAAGTGTTTTCATTTTTAAAAATATATGTACCGGCAGCTATGTGTTTACTTTAAAGTAGGCAAAGCTGAAAAAGTGTAGAGTAGTAAGTGAGGTGGGTTTGTGATTTTCCTTAGCTTCTGAGTGAATTTTAATATATTTAAAAAAATACAAAATACAGTTTACTAAAGTAAGAGCATTACTGTTAAATCTTTCTAAATGTTTCTCCCAAGGAAAGGTGAGCTTTTTAACAGCGTCTTACAGTAATCTTACCCAGTAGTCTGAGGGTAATGTAAAGTGACCCTTAGCAAAATAAGAATAGTCCGGCATGCTGGACAGTTGAGATTGCTCCCTGCCTGAGGAAGAGGTAACGATTTATAACAATCCACAAAATGACCTGTTGACAGAAGGTAATTTATAAAATAGACTGATCATTTGTAATCTTTTTTTTCAGTATTGCAGGAGAGCCAAGAATACTTTATCAAATGCCACCATGTTCTAAATCAGAAAAAATAGAGGATGCTTTATTATTGGAATGTCCTCTGGTAAGATTACTTTGAAAGGAATTTTGAAAAGCAAAGATGTAACTGATCTAGCTATGAAAGAACTGTTTACTAATGACAAGGGCAAACTTGAAATTATTTGCAGTAATTTAAGGGTCAATTTTAACTTCAGATGTCTGTAAATGGCTCCCAGTGAAAATGGTGGAAGGTTTGCTATGATTTCAGTGGAAGCAGCCAAATATTCAGAGACCATATAATCCACTTTATTCTAACCTTTTCCATTAAGAGGAGTAATTTTTCAAGGTAGTGCGTGTTACTATATTATGTTAGTCTTTGCTTGGAGCAGTTATTTAACAGGTAACTTGTTTTGTTTGTAACAATGTTCTTGTTAAGGACTATCACGTTGCTTGTCAGGAATAATGATCATCGCATAGCACATAAATGGTCTGGTATTTTTCAATGAAACAGCCTTACTAATAGAGAGCTTCCTCCCCTGTGAATGAAGGAATCATCTTTTAAAACAATTGCATGCAAAGTATAGTTTTCAATATGTTCTTTATTTTTGGCAGAATCTTTAGGGGCATACCATCTTGTTGATATATGTGTAACTTCAGTTTACACAGTAATAGGGTTATAAACCCTAGAAGAATTCTAATGCTATTCTATTCAAGTTTTTAAACTGGTGCATAATATATATGAACTCTACATCTCCGTGATTACTACCACATTGTAATTTTAACATTCTTTTTCATTTGTTCACAAACGTCTTAAAATGTAATTTTTAGACTGAAATTTGCAATGCTGTGTCTCAGAACAAAGGTAAACTTTTAGAAGTTTAAGCAGAATTTACTCATCTGACAGCATTTGAATTGAGCTTGAGCTCATGAAAACTTACACTATAAATCTCTGATTTAGTTAGTGTATAAAGTACAAATCTACCTTGCCGCCTGCCAACATTTACTCAGTCATTTATGGTCATCCTGGGGGAAGAAAAAGAATGAAAGAAAATTTTCTAACTTTTAAGACTGTGCATGTGTACTGTTAACTCAAAAGGGGCTCTACTTTTGTACTATTCACTTTATTACCTGTTCCATAGCAGTGTAGACATTTAAGCTACTAATGCTATATAGGACCATTGTATTTGCCATGCTAGATCAAAGGACCATCTAGTCCAGCCTCTTGTCTCCAGCACCAGAAGTTTCAGAAGAAAATCTACAACCTTCTAATCCTTAGTAGGTAGACATGGATTTAAGACAAAAAAGCACAATGATTAATCTCTCTTCCAAAATTTGTGAAAATAGCCATTTTATCTCATATATCAGGGTTTCAGCCTATTTTAAGGTATGTTTAAAAAGCGGCTGGGGATTATTGGAAGAAGGTGCTCCACAAGTGGAAAATCTAAAAAGAATATTACAAATTCACCAAAAATTTAAAATAATAGCTTTGATCACTCTGTGTTAAGTGTCATAATCTTATTTTGTTTCTGTTGTAGAACATTTTACTTCCACTTTTTTTTCAAGATTTGTAAATTCTATCCATTGCTAATATAAATTGATTTTCAATTTGGCTTCAACCTTGATATTTTTTCCATCTGTTGTTTTGTGGGTACGGTTGGTGTGATATCCAGCTATTTGATATCAGGCAGTTAGACCTTGAAGGCTTTGTCTACATGGGCAAAATTGATGTGTATAGCTTTTTCCAAAATAATTAGCTAGTTTAGTATAATTACCTATTCTATAATTACTACCCCACTTGGACACTGTTCCAAGATAAATTGACTATCCCAGGCTAATTACACTGCTTTGTGAGTGGAATCATTATTCTGGGCTAAAGTCACTTTTATCCCAGAACCGTAAAGGCCTGTTACTATGGAATAGTTTATTACACAATAGCAATGATTGTTCAATTACCTCATGACTAAGTGATATCAAATTACATGATCAACTGCACAATCATATTGGCAAACTATGGTTTAAAAAAGGAAGACTGGGATTTAAAAAGTTGATTTTTAATCTTCATGTAGGCCATACACTTATGGGGGGGGTTTAAACTGCAGAATGCATAAAAGCAAGTGTTTTTTGCAGTAGGCAATTGTCATTGATTTATATGATTTAACAATATATAAGGCCTGATGTTGTAGAAGCCTGCTTATTACCCTCAACCACTGTTTTGTTTTATGGTCACTTCAGGGTTCTAGGCCTTGTGACTTTCCTTGTTTGCATGTTCAGACTTCTTTCACTGATTTTTTTTTGTGTAGGGGGAAACATTGCCTAGTCTATCAGACTATAAAACTTCGCTTGCAGTTTTGACAGCTCAGAACTGGCTCCTTCGTCTCTCTGCTAATACTGGGGAAATACTGGAAAAAATATACCTTGCAGGATCCTACTGCAAATTCAGGTACTCAGTGTTGATTAAGCTTTACATAAGCAATGTTTTCATAGTTAGCATTATTGCAGTCCCGGGGGAAATATTTTTTATTTTTCTGTAAGTTAAGCTATTAAGTTTCTATGTATTCAGAAAACGTTGCTTTATACTATACTTCCTACAACCATAGAACTGTAAAAATGCATTTTTTGTTGGATGGAATTTATATCAGAGCAGGAAAAGAGTGCAACCCAAAATTCTTCAGTGACTCCCACCCTTTGCAGACTTTGCAGAGGTGCCAGTGATTGGAGGTGAATTATAGTCAAGGAGCTCCCTCCCAGTCAGGATGAAGGCGCATTGTTGGTACAGGAAGGGGTAGCTTACAGTGCTGGTCCTAAGCTTTACCCATTTTATGGATGAGAGGGAATCTCAGTCTAGCACCTTTCCTGGACACAATCTCCACATGCCATATTGTTTAAGAACAGTTTTAAACTTCAGCAGTCTAAGTGTTATGGTCTCAAATTTGTCCCTAAATTCCAGTAACCTGTCCGGAAGAGCATGTGCTACAAAAAAACCACAAGTTCATGCTAATACTAGCTTTCCTCTGTCAATTTTACAACTTTTAATATTGCAGTAACAACATACTAGAATGTCTCTTTAAGCTCTGAAAAGCAAACTTCATAAAACACAGGGAAAATATTATTAGCAATTTAGAAACAGGCAATTTTTAACTGTATGCATATGCTTTTGCACAATGTATCCATTTTAGTTTTTAGCAGGACAGCAAACTTCCCATCCCCCTTCCATCCCACTTCTCAGAGGAAGTGATCCCTCTCTTGCTTCAGAATCATAGTAGTAGTTTATGAAAAGCAGAGGAAAAGGTACAGCAGCCAACCTTACTATCCACAAGTTTGTATAGTGTTTTTTTGCATTGTCTAATAGGGAGAGTGATTCAGATAATGCGAAACAGCTCCATCAATGCTCAGAGCCTAAACACTCAGTTCATGGAGCCTGCAGAGTTGGCTGAGACCTTGGGATCTGGCCTGGGACTCTCATAATCCAATCTAGATTATGTGAAAAGGGCCACTTACCTTAAGAAGGTTTTAGACAATGACTAAACTAATACTAACATCAAGGCTTCTTTCTCATCACCGACAGGTACCTGAACTGGGATTCTCCTCAAGAAATTATGGTTGTAAAGTCTGTTCAGCAGAAGGTCTCAGCAGCAGCACGGCAGGTAGGTTTACTCATCCTGTCAGGTGAGGTGTATGTAGCCAAATATTTACTGGGCTTGTACAGAAGTTCAAAGAGAAATATTTTTAGTTGCCTCATCTGGCAGGTATCATAGTAGCTAGGGTCAGAAGGGACCTAAACGGATCATCAAGTCCAACCCCCTGCCTTGGGCAGGAGTGCATGCTGGGGTCATATGACCCCAGTCATGTGTCTACCCAGCCTCCTCTTAAAGACCCCCAAGGTAGGAGCAAGCACCACTTCCCTTGGAAGTTGGTTCCAGGTCCTAGCTGCCCTAACTGTAAAGTAATGCCTCCTGATGTCTAGCCTGAACTTGCTAACTTGCTGTCTATCAACTTGTGGTCATTATTCCTAGTTACCCCGTGTGGTGCCCGGGGAAACAGGGCATCTCCTATTCCCTGCTGATCCTCCCCTGGTGAATTTGTAGATGGCCTCCAGATCCCCCTTCAGCCTTCTCTTGTGGAGGCTGAATAGGTTCAGACCCTCTAGTTCAGAGGTGTCCAACCTTTTTGAATGTGGGGCCAGATCACGAACTTTTTATCACCCAGTGGGCCAGCAAGCCATATTCAAAGACCTCACAGGAAGTGGTATCACATCAGGAAGTGATGTCACATGACTTTTGACACCAATGAAGTTGCAGGAAGTGACAATGAAATGGGTCTAACCAGTTCAAAACTCTCCCTCTATAGCATCCACCTCTGCCACTGTTTGGGACAGGATACTGAACTAAATGGACCGTGGGGCTGACCAAGCATGGCACTTTTTATGCTCTTATGTTCAGAAGCTCTTATGTTCTTTGGCTGAGCTTCCAAACTATGGCTGACATTTGCAAAAAGGGGTAGATAGGCATGTTACAAAGTTGTCATAAAAGATTTGGAGCCCTCTAAATCCCATTCATTTTAATGGAAATTGGCCTTTTGACTCAGCTTTGAAAATCTCAGCCCAAGGTGCCAACCAAATAAGTCAAAATATATTTTGCATTTCTATGCAGTGCATCTATGTGGGACTCTCCAAGTATTTTACAAACATGAAATGAACCTCAGGATGAGCCCAGCCGGAGCAGCAGGGGCTCAGCTGCACTTTGCCCCTACCTGTGCTGGTCAGTACCGAGCAACACATGGCTCTGCTGCCACTTTTGCTGGCTGATGCTGACCTGGGCGGGTCTGTCCCATCCGGAGCAACACGCAGCTGAAGCTGGCTTCCCACGTGCTACCGGGGATGGGAGGAGCCTGGCTGGGTCGACACCAGCCAGCAGAAGCGGTGGCGGCGGAGCCATGTGCCACTCGGGACTGATGGGCGCAGGCAGGGGGAAAATGCACCTCAGCCTCTGCCACTCCAGCCAGGCTCGTCCCATCCTGAGTGGCACATGGCTCTGCCTTCACTTCTGCTGGCTGGTGCAGACCCAGCCAGGCTCTTCCCGTCCCCAGTAGTATGTGGGAAGCCACCTTCAGCTGCATGCCACTTTTCCTGGCCAGTGCTGACCTGGCTG